GCTGAGCCATCTCTCTAGCCCAGAGATCCTGTCTTAAAAAAAAAAAGGGCAGTGGGCATGGATGTGAATGCCTTTAATCCCAGCACTCGGGAGGCAGAGGCAGTCAGATCTCTGTGAGTTCAAGGTCAGCCTGGTCTACATAGTGAGTTAAGGCCAGCTGAGGCTACAGGGAGACCCTGTCTCAAAAAGACCAAAAAAAAAAGGGGTGGGGGGCAGCTCCTGAAGTTGTAGACTAAAACCCTTGGCCATATCCTAAAACCCCTGCCTTGTATCAGTCCTGTCAGTTGCCTTTGCCTTCTGTATAATGTGATAGCTGTCTCTGCCATCCAGCCCCATCCTGGTCAGGTACCATACTGTCTTGGGGACCATATATTAGTTAGCGCATGCAGCCAGGCCCATGCCCACGCACAATTCCAGAGTCGCCTGGTGCTGGTACTGTCAGGGGCCCACACTGGGCAGGCCTCAGGACAAACCACCTGAGTCCCCTTTGCTCCAGAGTCTTTTTTTTTTTTTTTTTTTTTTTTGTTTTTTTGGGATGGTCCCCCTGTAGCCCCAGCTGTCCTGAAACTCAGTATGTAGACCAGGCTGGCCTTGAACTCACAGGGATCCGCCTGCCTCTGCCTCCCAAGTGCTGGAATTAAAGGCGAGCACCACCACACCCAGCGCTCCTCAGTCTTTTAAGTTGATCAGTTTCAGCCAGCAGTTTTCAAGCTTTCCAGACCCCTCTAACTTCTCAAAGCTGTTGAAGACCCCACAGAGCTTTGTTTATGTGAATTTTATCTTAACAGTATTTATAGCATGAGAAAAAAAAAATTGGAGACAACGTAAATATTTATCATTCCATGTGAAAAACAAATGAGGTGCTAGCATAAATGATGTACCTTTACAAATAAAAACTGATAGGTAGAGAATGGGCGGGAGCGAGCGGTGCGGATGGAAGAGGCATGAGCAGATGGATGAGGCACGGAGACTCAGATGGAATTCTCAGCGGGACACAGATTTATTTCGCACGGGGCACCTTTCCCTCGGGAAGGGAAAGATGTCGGCAGAGGGAAAGAGGGAAGGGAAAAGGGAAGGGAAAAGGGAAGGGAAGGGAAGGGAAAGATGTCCACGAAGGGAAAGATGTCGGCCCATGGGTTGTGAGCTGGGACTTTACATATGGGGGCTTTAGGGTGTGGAAGGGGGGGATGTTTGGGGGAGAAATCAGGGAGGGGGAAGCAGGTAGGATGAGGGTGTGGAAGTGTTTACTTTTTCCCTCTTAAGATGAGAGAAAAACAGCTTCTAAAATCTCTGGTTATCAGGTAGAATCTGCTTATCTTTGGAGGTCAGAGGAAAGGCAGGCTGCTTCTCAGCAGAGTTTGTTTCCCTTGACTCCAAAGGTCAAGGTGAGGTCCCTGTTGGGGGGGGGGGAGCTGCTATTTGGAACCCTAACAAAAACCATTTTCCAGACAACAAACAAAATCAATGAGAACAGCAGCATTTCGTATGTTTGTAACCGTTGCTGTTGTCTGGTCAGTGGAGGCCCTGGGTTCTCTGCTTCTGAGTTGGATTTGCCAGTGTCAACCTTCGTGCAGCCTCTGAGAGATTGCTTGTCAACATAGCATTGCATATCTTAGTGTTACTGTGAAAATAATCATGTCCTTGCAGATCCCATGGAAAGGTTTTAGGGATGCCCAGGGTTCCCTGTACCATACTTAAAGAACTTTTGTCTAAAGCCACTGACTGGCCCTTTCACCAAACAGTCCTAACTCACCCTGCAGTCATCTTCAGCCCCTGTGTACATCTCCATATTCCAGAATATCCTGGCATCCAGATCTTTTGAACAGTTTCACCATCTCTGTGTAAAACAGTTCTGCCTGTACTTGGCATCTGTTGTGGATCTAGGACTGCCTCATAGGGAACTCAGAGCATACCCAGGGTGAATGGGCAGTGTGAGTGATCACCAAGGGCCACCCCTACCCTGTGGTGCCCACTCTGGTTTGTGGGGAGCCATTGACCAGGGTGGGTGGGCAGTGTGAGTGATCGCCACGGCCTTTCCTCCCTAGCTACTTGCCTCTGCCCACATCAGCAGACTCATCCTGTTGACCTGAGTTTGCCACCCAGCATCGGCTTGGTCCATACTACCCCTGAGCCTTTTGCAGAGACAGAGCCTCCCTTTCCTGAGAGAATGACATTTCCACCAGAAAACCAGGAAAAGCATGCAGGTGTCAGTGCTTTGTCTGTGTCCCCTCCAGTAGCCCACCCCAGCCCTTGTCTCCGTAGCAGTCCCCCATATGGCATTCTTGGCACTCCTTCAGCAGAGGCCCCTCTAGTCATGGTGATAAAGTCTGCTAGCAGCACCTCCCTCCCTCTGGAGGCCTTCCTCTCCACCTGTCATATTTTGTCCCATGGGGGCTTTGGCCACGCCTTTGTCCATGCTAAGAGCCGGGACATACCCAGTTTGTCCTCAGCTACAAGGAGAATGTGAGCCTCAGGGTGTTTTCCTAAGAAAATTTTCTCAGAAAAGCCAGCACATTTGCTCACGTACATGTGTCAGGTCCATGCATCAGGTCCATGGCTTTCTCCTGTCCCAACAGACCTGCACACAGCCACATGTACCTGCACATTTCCCATACTTCCCACCAAAAGTTTCTTCTTCCCCTATGGATGTTAAATTAACATAATTTCTTACGGCGACATAACATATTTACTGGTTTCCCAGTCTGCAAAATTCCAACTAGCCAACCCCATCCCATCCCCCTCTTTGCTCCATCAGCCCCTGTCCAGTAGGATCAAGTGATTCATTGGCATGGCAGCCTTCAGAGTCCTCCACAGTTGGTCTGGGCCCCATCCTCTGAGCTAGACCATACTCCTGCCCTGCTCACACAGTACACTCACTTCCCTCCTGCTGGTTGACGGTTTGCTTACCCTTTGAGGCTCAGCTCTTGCCTCTCTGGGTATTTCAAGCTCTATCTTATCTGCCACTGATAAACCATCATTCTGCCTCCCCTTTTCCCCTAGAGACTTCACATGTGTAAGGTGCTTCCCTCTTCCCTGGCCACCCATCAGGAAGCACAGTATCCCACAGTACCCTAATTTATTGCTTGACTGATTGACTGGGCCCCACAGCTGGATGTTATTTAGTTTGGCTCAATGTATAGTTACTAATATTGTTTTAACTGCCATTTAAACCGTACCTGCTATGTGAAAATTTTTCCCCATGTTAAGACTTTGATCCTATTACTTTGGTTTTTCTTCCCTCCAGCGATTGACCACATCCCATCCTGGAGAGCAGAGGGAGACTGTACTGCAAGCCTATATCAGCAATGACCTCTTGGATTGTCACAACCACAACCAGGTCAGTAAGAGGTGGCCAGGGCCTTCCACAGTAGGGAAGGATCTTCATAGACAGGAAGGCTGTGACTTCTTTGAACATTTTCAGTGACCTTGGGTAGGCTTGAGCTTATCAGCTGGTAAGCCCTGTGTTTACCTCCTGGCCTTTAGTCCTAGCACTTGGGAGGCAGAGTCAAGCGGATCTCTGTGAGTATACATAATGAGTTCCATGCCAGCTGGGGCTATAGGAAGACCCTGCCCCTAAAAGACAAAAAATAATTATTGCTTTATTATTTATTTATTTGTATGTGTCTGTATGTGAGTATGTGCACATTCATTGGGGTACCCGTGGAGGCCAGAGGCATCAGATACCCCTGGAGTTGCAAGCACTTGTGAACGGAACCGAACGTGGGTCTCTTGGAAGAGCAGCGATCGCTCCTAACTGCTGGCCCATCTTTCCACCCCCACTGTTTTGATTTTTAGGAAGGACTGGCCCAGAGTTCTCTGATACCAGAGAATCTTGTGTAGCAATATAACTCCAAAGTAATTGACCTGTTCAGAAAGGAAATCGAACTGGTCGGCTAGTAGTTCTCAAGTTTAAAGTGCGGCATTGGCTAGTGGTTCTCAAATCCCTTAGTGGTTCTCAAAGTTTAAAGTGCAGCATTGACATCTGAGGTCTCATTAAGATTTTCCATAGCTCACTGGAATCCCCTGCAGATTCTAGTGAGTAGGTCTGGGCTGGGGCCTTTGTATTTCCAACAGGATTTTAGGCAATGAAGATACTGCTGGTTCAGAACCCTGCTTTACAGATCAGTGTCCTAGAGCAAAAGCTTGAACTGAATCAAACTGGGTTAAATGTAGTAACCCAAGGTTTCCATTTTTAGCCAAATCATTTTCACATCATGTAGTTACATTTCACATTGCTGGAAATGTTCATGTCAAATTGTCCATACCTGACAATTCTAACTATTTAGTGTTATATATGCATCTAAAAAACACACTTCCGCCAAGTTTGGTGGTGCTTGCCTTTAGTCCCAGCAATCACTGGGGAGGCAGAGGCAGGTGGATCTCTGTGAGTTCAAGGTCAGCCTAGTCTAGATACCAAGTTTCAGGCCAGCTGGGGCTACAGGGAGACCCAAAAAGACCAAAGAACAAAAACCCCCCACACTTCCTCAATTCAGGGACTCTTTGCTCTGTTTATTATTCACAAGTTTTTTTTCTGTCATCCAAATTAAGAAGTAGAAACTTACTAGCACCTTAGAAACTTCTAGGTTACAACTCCTTTTCTTTCACCAAGAAATGATCACCATTCTAACTTTTTTTAAAAAATATTATTTTTATCATATGTATATGAGTGTATTGCCTGCATATAGGTAACTGCACCCAAGTCATGCAATGCCTGCAGAGGACAGAAGAGGCTGTCAGATCCCCTGGAACTGGAGTTACAGACAGTTGTTAGCTGCCATGTGGGTGCTGGGATTCGAGCTCGGGTCTTCTGCAAGAACAACCAGTGTTCTTAACCGCTGAGCCATCTCTCCAGCCCACCACCCTTTTTTAAATTATGGTAAAATACAAGTAACATGAACATTACCATCTTACTAAAGTTTTTAAGTATACAATTTAGTTGCATTAAATATTCATAATGTACAATCATCTCCACCATCCATTTCCATTATTTAACCCCTTTGATTTTGTAGAACTGAATCTCTATTCCCAATAAACAGTAACATTTATTCCCCCTACCCAAGCCCTGGCATCTATCAGCTTCTGCCTTCTGTCTCCACGATTTGGACTAGGCTAAGTGCTTTCACATAAATGGAACTGTGCAGTATTTGTTTTTTGCTTGTTTTACAACTGGCCTATTCCACTTAGCATAGTGTCCTTAAGTTTTATCCATGTTGTGGTATATGTCAGAATTTCTTTTTAAGGCTTAATAGCATCCTGATTTATGGTAGCCCACATTTTTTATCCACTCTTCCATCAGTGGACCCTGGGTTGCTTCTCCCTTTGGTGTTGTGAATAGTACTGCTGCAAAGTGAGTGTACACATCCTGACTTTTGTGTTAATTAGTCCCTTCCTTTTCCTTATAGCTTTCCCATGTGAATCACAGTCATACCTACCTGCCTTCGACACTTTCATCTCCTCTGGTGACATTAATGGTCAGTGTTAGGAGACAGTCCTGGGAAACTGATCTGGTTGGATTGAAAAGTCAGCCAGGTAGCAGTTGTCCAGCAACCATGTGTGTGACCCAAAGCCACAGTGAGCTGCTCTCTACTTTGACTTTGACCCAAACCACAGTGAGCTGCTCTCTACTTTGACTTTTTTTTCCTTCTGTGAACCAGTGAGTCTAATTAGGGCTGCTTGCAAGAGCATAGGCAACTTAACAGTACTAAAGAAAATATCCTCTCACCCCAAACATTAATTGCTTATAGATCCTCAGAGAGGAACAGGGCCTCATGAGAGATTCCTTCCACTTCCCAGTCATAAACTTAAAAAAAAAAAAAAAAAAAAGAGGGGCTGGAGAGATGGCTCAGCAGGTAAGAACACTGGGTGCTCTTACAGAGGACCCAGGTTTGATTCTCTTAGCACCCACATGGTGGCTAACAACCATCTGTAACTACAGTTCCAGGGGATCTGATACCCTCTTTTGACCTCTGCAGCTGTTGCACAACACAGGTGCACTTACATACATGCAGGCAATACACTCATACACTTAAAATAAAAAATAATAAATACATTTTTAAAAAATGAGGTCTAGAGCTCAGAGGTCTAGAGCTTAAGAGAAGCCAGTGTAACTCCTACCAGGAAAAGGAGGAAAGAAATCTAATATTCAGCAAATACCTCCTATTTGCAGCATTATGCTGTATACATATGAACTCTTGGTTGTTCTTTATACAACCTTGAATGATGAGTAATATAATCTCTCTCTTGCAAGTGAGAAAACAGAGACTCAGAGTTCAAATTTAATGTTCTATCTGAGTTTCCTTTCTTGTTGCTGTGATAAAATACTCTGACAAAAGCAATAGTGGATTGAATGAGAATGTCCCCCATAGGCTTCAAGTGTTCAGCCATTTTGTCCCCAGTTGGTGGTGCTGTTTTGGGAGGTCTTAGAAAGTGTGGCCATGCTGGAGAAAGCACATCACTGGGAGTGGGCTTACAGAGTTTTTAAGTCTTACCAGATCTCCAGTCACTCTCTGCTTCCTGTGCCTGCTTGAAGATGTAAATGCTTTGCTTCTGCTCCTACTCCAGCATCTCTGCCACCATAGCTCCCCCCCATGATGGACTCTTGCCCCTTTGGAACTGTAAGCTAAATAAACTCTTCCTTCTATGAGTTCCCTTGGTCAGGTATTTGTATCACAGCAACGGAAAAGTAACAGAAATTGGTACTGAGAGTGGGCTGTTACTGTGAAGAACCTGATCATGTGGGTTTTTGGAGGAATGTGGAAGACTTCAGAAGTCTGGGTTAGAAAAGCAGTTGACTGCAGTAAGTAGAACTTAACGGGCCATTCTAGTAGGCACCTGGAAGAAAGTGCTGAGAACAGTGTAGTTTCAGAGGGAAATAAAGACTTTAGCAGCAACTGAGGTATTTTGGCAGAGTCTGCTCACAGCCAAAAAGCTTGCCTGAGGCTAAGTTGAAAAAAAAAATGGACTAATTTCTTTAGTGGAGGATATTTCAAGGCAGCCTATGTAGAAATAGTAGTGTGGCTATTAATGGTGAGTATTATACAGATCTACAGTGAAAAAGAGCAAATGGGGTGGAAAGAAATGCATAGTGTACAGTTTGGATAGAAAAAGAGTACTAGGAAGACTAACGTTGGAGCCAAGGCATGTGCTGAAGGAGAGGGTCCCTTTGATAAGGAGATTAAAGTGATTAAGGAGAGGCCTAGAGATTTTTCCCTTAAACAATGGAGAGAGTGCCTCCGGGGCAAGACCACAACCAGCTAAGCCTCCAAGCTGTGAAAGGAAAATGCTTCAGGGGTTTTCTAATGGAAAACCACTGAAGAGAAAAGCTTTGAAAGTGAATGAAGCAGGCCGGGGTCCACACCAAAACTGGTTCATCTGGTGCTGACTTTAGAGGCATGAAAGATGCAAGAGTGAAGGGGTCATTGGTTCTTCATTCTCTGAGGTTTCAGAGAGCCATTGAGGCCAGACAGTGTGCAGCACGGGTATCCCTTCATAAAGAAGGCCCTAACAGACCAAGAGGCTCTAGTAAACCGTTGTGTGAAACTATGAAGGTAAAGCCTGGTTGGCAGTGGAGACCCCAAGAAGAGGTTTGAGATGCCAAAACTGTGAGACATTTGCCAAAGAGAGCTGCATACAGGGAGAGGTACCAGCCCAAGAGAGAGATATCTGTTACATGCAGCAAAGTTGGAGGAGCTGAGCCATCTAAGCCCTTTGTAAGTAAAGTCCCAGAAGTCGGATATGGAGCTACTGGATTTGGTGTTTGCTCTGCTGATTTTTGGTCTTCTTTTGGTCTGGTATTTCCTCACTATGCCTCTATTCCTCCCTTTTGAAATGGGACTGTGTATTTTGTTCCACTGTATGTTGGGAGTAGGTAATTTGTCTTGATTTTACAGGGCCTTACAGTTAAGAGATTGCCCTGAGTCTCAGAAGAGACTTTGGACTATGGACTTTTGAATAGTATTGAGACTGGTAAAGACTATGGGGACTTTTAAGGATAGACTAAATGCATTTTGCATTTTGTATGTTCATGATCCTATGGGGGCCAGGAAATAGAATGTGGTGGTTTGAATGAGAATGTCCCCTATAAGCTCCAAGTATTCAGACATCTTTTTTCTCTAGTTGGTGGTACTGTTTTGGGAGGTCTTACAAGGTGTGGCCATGCTGGAGGAAGTACATCACTAGGGGCAAGCTTAGAAAGTTCTTAAGCCTTGCCAGATCTCCAGTCGCTCTTTTGCTTCCTGTGCCTGCTTGAAGATGTGATCACTTAACTTCTGCTCCTACTCCAGCCACTTATGCCACCATGCCTCCCTGCTTTGATGGACTCTTGCCCCTTTGGAACCATAAGCTAATTAAACTCATCCCTCTATAAGTTCCCTTGGTTATGGTGTTTTATCACAGCAACAGAAAAGTAACTAATACAACAATTTAGGGGTGAAAGAGTTTATTTTATCTCACAGTTCCAGGGCACAGTCCACTGCTGCTGGAAAGTCAAGGCAGCAGGAATGAAGCAGCTGTCATACCCAGTCAAGAGCAGAGAATGCATGTGTACACTCAGCTCCATCCCCACACAGCTCAGGGTCTTCTGCTTGGGATGCATGGCTCTTTCTACATCAGTTAGGACAATCCCCCACAGAAACTCTCACAGGCCAACCTGGATCTAGACAATCTCTCATTGAGACACTCTTCCCAGGTGATTCTAGATTGTGTAAGTTGACATTAAAATTAACCATCACATGCCCCATATCATACATTGTAAGATCTTAAACCAGGGGAAGGGAAAGGAGAAAGGGAAAAAGGGAAAACAGGCAAGCTGGCTGGATGCTGAGGTGCCTGCCTGTAAGCCCATGTGTGCCTTGCGGTTGTAGGGGCCTTTCATACGTAATTTCTTTCATTTAGAAATTTGGATAAGCCAACCCCTGTGCCAGCAAGCTGTGGTCACACATCCTTCCCATGCTTGTCAAGGAGTCAAGGGGGGAGTCAGTTACCCCTCCCATCCTATCAGTTGACCTTAGCTGCATGAAGGGGAAGGGCTAAGAATATATAAGCTGAGAACACCATGAGGCACCTCTCAAGATTTTGTGCAGCTGTTGGAAAGTCAAAGGATCTGTATTTGAGTGTGGACTTTGCAGCACACCTATAAGGAGGGGACACACTTTTGTATATAAACTCCCACCCTTTGCTCTGTTAGCAAGGCCAATAAACTTGATAGGATTTAAAAAAAAAAAAAAAAAAAAAAAAAAAACCCAGAGCTAATGGAAACCTTCATTATTCCACCAAAGTTGACCCCATGTTGGCAAATTCTTTGGTCTGATTTTTTTTGTTGTTGTTTTTTGGGGGGTTTTTGGTATTTTTGAGACAGGGTCTCCCTGAAGCCCCAGCTGGCCTGGATCTCACTATGTAGACCAGGCTAGCCATGAACTCACAGAGATCCTCCTGCTTTTGCCTCCCAAGTGCACGCCCAGTGGTCTTTGACTTCTTATTCCTGTTTTTCCCTTCTTAAACTTCATTGTATATAATTTTTATGTAAACTGTTTCAAATTATTTCTGGAAAAATGTGTTAAAAATTGCCTCTCTTTGGAATAATAAACATATTCTAAAGTTAAAAAAACAAATATGGATAAGTTTTTTTAAAAAATATGTCTCATATCATTTGGAAATCAAGAGTCACAGATGAAATGTTTGGCTTTAACCTCTTTATTTCCCTCTAATTAATCCAGGCAGAGGGGATCTGTCTCTTTCCCTTCTAACCTCTCTTTGTCCTCCCTTGACTCTTGTACCCCCACAGAGGAGCGTGCTGCAGCTGCTGCACTCCAAGAGTGAGGCCGTGCGGCAGTACATGGCCAGGCTCCTCAATGCCCTGGCGTCCCTGTCTGAAGGTGAGATGATACTCTTCCTCAGCAGAGCGGCTGTAAGGAAGGGTGCTGGGTTCCTCGTGAAATTGAATGTTCTCCCAAGTTGCTTAAAGTGGTCCATGTTTCCTCATTTTATTACTGTTCTAATGTCTCTTGTGAAAATTGGTTATAATAATTGCCTTATTTTCTGCCAGAGCAAATTTTCTTGCCTTTGGAATTTTTTATAATACTTTAAAAAAGCATTATAAAATGCTTGATTTGGTTTGGTTTGTTTTTTGAGACTGGGTCTCCCCAGCAGGCCTTGAACTTGCTATGTAGACCAGGCTGGCCTTGAACTTACAGAGATCCTCTTGCCTCTGCCTCCCAAGTGCTTGGACTAGAGGTGTGTGCCACCATGCCCAGTGTTTAAGGTTTTTATAACTCCTGTTTAAATCTCTTTGAACCATATACTAGGTAATCATTTTTTTATAATTTCCTACTTAAGCCAAAATAAGTGGTGAAACAAGTAAATATGATTCCAGTAAGCACTGGACCATCTCCTTTTCCACTTTCTGCAGGTTTGAAAATTCCAGAAATAACAAGCACTTTGTAACTGAATTCAAAATAATTTTACAAGGCATCATTATCAGGGCTGTTTGGATGGCTCAAGGGGGTAAAAGCTGTTGCCTGGTAGGCTTGAGAACCTGAATTTGATCCCTATAAAAAAATGCAAGAAGTCAGATGCAGATCTGAGCACTCTAGGGCAAGATGAGAGGCTGAGACAGGTGAATTGTGAGCACAGTGGAAGAAGCAAGAGAGCCCCTGCCTCAAAACAAGGTGGAAGAGCTGGGTGTGGAGCAGAGGTAGGTGGATCTCTGTGAGTTCCAGGCCAGCTAGGGCTGCAGGGAGACTCTGTCTCAAAGAAACAAAACAACAGCAATAAAAAAAATGCAGTGATTCACTGTGTAGTTCCGTAAATAGGTAATAAAAAAAAAGTGGAGAGAGCTCACTCCTAATGTTGTCCTTTGACCTACACACACACACACATACACACACACACACACACACACACGCACACACATGCAAACACACACCATGGGACCCACACAGCCACATTCACATATATACATCATACACACCATACACAACACACAATTTTTTTGAGTGCTAGTCTCTTGCATATTGTTCTTATTTGGGGTATTCTTAGTGTGAATAAAAGGAATTTTCATTTTATGAATACATGGTACTCTGCAGGTTTATTTTATTCATTATTACACACCTTTGGTTAACATTGACCATTCATCTAATAATTTTGTTGATGCTTAGATCCAAAATTAACATTTCTCAATCCAGAAGTCCACAAAAAGTTAGTAACCACTTACATTTACTAAAGTGTACCAGACAGGGCTCTCACCCCCTTCAGGCCCTGGCTTTTGAGGAGGAGCAGGGAGTGTGGCCAGAAGCACTCCTTGACTGCCTCAGTTGTAAGGGCCGAGGGGCTCACAGTACCTGTGTGTTCTACCTATAGGGTTCAGGACTTGAGACAAATGAAGGATGGTGCTCCTCACAGACTGTGCTGGTGATGTATTTAGATTACAGAAAGGTTTTCTATCTGTTTGTTGACTGAGTAAACTTAACTTTTGAGATAGGATCTCCCTATGTATGTACCAGGCTGGCCACAAACTTGTAATCTTCCTGCCTCAGCCTCCCTGGTGCCAGGATTATAGGCATGTGCCTCTACACCTGGCTCAGAAAAATTACATTTTAGTAATTTCTTTTAGAACCTTCTATTGTATCGTGTGCAAATCTTCCATAGAAAGTAGTTTTGGAGCATACAGATACATTTTTCCATTTTCCCATTTTCCTCTCTGCAACATTATTAGGTCGCCTCTATCTTGCCCAAAACACAAACGTGCTACGGATGCTGGAGGGAAGGCTGAAGGAGGAAGACAAGGATGTCATCACTCGGGAGAATGTCCTCGGGGCCTTGCAGAAGTTCAGCCTCAGGTGATGACCATGCACTGGGTCAAGGTGGCTCCTGTGAAATCAGATGGGGAGTTACTTCTTTTTTAATTCTCATGACAACCCAGGATGCAAATGATATTTGTCTGCTAACACTTAGGAGTGGGTAAGGTAGAGCTAGAAACCTCTCTGAGATAAGTTCTTCTGTTCAAGGCTGCTGGGGAGGAGAAAGACAGTACGGTGAATGCACCATTGTCTTTTCCTAGTGAACATTAGATCATTAGTGCCAGCCAGGTGCTAGACTGTCTCAGCTCCATGCATGGTTTAGATAAGCATATGCATAGTCAAGTTGTTTGATGTTATACATGGTGTGACCAGTGGTCCTGCAGGAGTCTGCCTTGTGCATATCCCAGCAGCCCACCCAGAGTCCTGATCTGGACTTATGACTTGAAAGTGCTACCTCAGAAACTTAAAATCAGGTACTTTAGGGCTGGAGAGATGGCTCAGTGGTTAAGAACACTGACTGTTCTTGCAGAAGACCCGGGTTTGAAGCCCAGCACCCACAGGACAGCTAACAACTGTCCATAACTCCAGTCCTAGGGGACCTGACAGTCTCTTGTGTCCTCTGTGGGCATTGCACGACATGGGTGCACTTGCCTACATGCAGACAATACACGCACACACATAAAATAAAAAAAATAATAAAAATATTTTTTTAAATCAGGTGCTTTTTGAACTAGATCTAGTGTCCTCTTAGAACTTAAAAAAATATATTTTAAGTTATGTGAATGTGGATGTGTGTGGTGGGTGTATAGGTATTTATACATGAGTGCAGGTACCTGCAGAGGTCAGAAGACTGTCATATCTGGAGCTGGAGTTACTGGTAGTTGTGAGCCACTCAAGTGGGTGCTGGGAACTGAGCTGTGGTCCTCTCCAAGAACAGAAGCATCTCTCAAGCCCCTTTTAGAACTTTACATAAATTAACAGCTATGGAAGAGTACTTTACATACCATAGAAATAACCATCTTAAATGGAAAAGTCTGTTTTTTACAGATTTTCACAATTCTGCAGTCCTCATGACAACCTAATTTTAGAACACCGTCCCCCATTTATTTGTGTGTGTGTATGTGTGTGAGTGTGTATCACTACCTCATTTTCTCTTTGATTTTGTTTGTTTTGTTTGTTTTTGAGATAGGTTCTCACTACTTTGTAGACCAGGCTGACCTTGAATTCACAGAGTTCTGCCTGCCTCCCAAGTGTTGGGATTAAACCACCATGCCTTTGACATGTGAAGGATTCCAGTAGCCCCAGTGGTCAGATATTTTGGCCCATCCTCTTCTGAACACACATTGTACCTATCAAATGTTGGCCTGACTCCCCTATAGCCCAGTTGTGGGCAGAGTAAAGTGGTGTAAATACTGTGCACACTTCATGACAGAAAGGGACAGGTATCTGCTAAGTCCTTGCTGACGTTAATTTATTGTTCTAGTTGTATGAACTCAAAATTGCCACGTGACCTGCAAAGCTGCTGCCTGCTCCGCTCTCTGAACATGTTGTTCCTGTTTGTCTTTCTGTCAGCTGGATGTAGGGCAGGGTGAAGATGCAGTTCTTCCTGCCAGTGCAGCTGTCTACTGCCAGTGCATTATTTTTCTCTGAAGAGTAATCTAAGCTGTTGTATTCTACAACACATGGTCTTTTTTATTATTATTTTTTTTTTATCTTTTTGAGACAGGGTCTCCCTGTAGCTCCAGCTGCCTGGAACTCACTCTGTAGACCAGGCTGGCCTCGAACTCACAGAGGATCTGCCTGCCTCTGCCTCCCACGTGCTGGGATTAAAGGTGTGTGCCACCAAGGCCGGCTATACATGGTCTATTTTGATTGGAGTAAGTCACAGTGCTCAGGTTGGGGTAGACCTTCAGAATGGCTCAAACAAATACTTATTTTGCCTTTTGGATGGTCATTTCACCCTAATCTGTTGCTCAAGGGACACAAGAGCTGGCCTCTGTGGTATCCACATGTCCACATAATGCAGATGACATCATGACTGGTTAAGTCTGAAGGCTGACCTGATGACATTTACCATTCCACATTTGAAGAGGTGTTAGGCCATTGAATTTACATGTGGGCTCTGGATGAAAAGCCATCCTTATAATTTATATCGTCATCATTAAACTACCTTAATTTATAGAGATCTAGTCAAAACGGTATTGAGCTATGGTTTTTGTTCTTTATCTTCATACAGTTCAGTGTGCATGTAGAGTTTAGTAAAAATCCATTTTTGAAAGAAGTATTTTTATGGTCTGTGGCCTGGATTGAGTAAATCAAAAGCTATTAACAAATATTTACATATTTGAAGTAAGAATCTGCTAATTTTAAATATCGAAGAGACTTTCAAAGTGGGAGGCTTTCTTATTGCTTAATCTTTCTTTTAATTATTGTATCCTTAAAAGGTAAAGAATTTTTGTCATTTCAGTTGAATGGGTTTAAGGATAGAATTTTCCTCAGTCTGTATCTTCCCTTGCTGGGTGTTACCATCCACACTGCAGAACCTTCTTCATGGAAGGCTCTTCCTGGTTAATTCACCTACAGCTGTTTCCTCCTAGGCGCCCACTGCAGACAGCCATGATTCGAGATGGCCTCATCTTCTGGCTGATTGACCTTCTGAAGGACCCCGACTGCCTGTCTGACTACACATTGGAGTACTCCGTGGCTTTGCTCATGAACCTCTGCCTCCGCAGTGCAGGTATCACAGCCCAACTGTATTAGTTACTTTTCTGTTGCTGTGATAGAAGCACCATGACCCAAGGGAACTCATAAAAGGAAGTTTATTTAGCTTACACTTCAAAGGGGCAAGAGTCCATAATTGGCAGGGAGGCATGGCTAAGCACTCACATCCTAAAGCAGGCACAGGAAGCAGAGATCCAGCAAGAGCCTTAAAAACTCTCTAAGCCCGCCCCCAGTGATGTGCTTCCTCCAGCAAGGCCATACCTTCTAAGACCTCCCAAAACAGTGCCACCAACTAGAGACAAAATGTCTGAATACTTGGAGCCTATGGGGGGCATTCTCATTCAAACCACCACATTCTACTGCCTGGCCCCCATAGGCTCATGAACATATAAAATGCAAAGTGTATTTGGTCCAACCTTACAAGTCCCCATAAGTCATTGCTAGCCTCAATACTATACAAAAATCCAGTCTAAAGTCTCTGAGACTCAGGGCAATCTCTTAACCATAAGACCCTTTAAAATCAAAAGACAAATTACGTACTCCCAACATACAGTGGAATTGAATACACACTCCCATTTGAAAAGGGAGGAATAGAGGCATAGTGAGGAAATACCAGACCAAAACAAGACTGAAAACCAGCAGGGCAAACACCACATCCAGTAGCTCAATGTCCAGCTTCTAGGATTTTACTTCCAAAGGGCTTAGATGACTCAGCCTTTCTAGCTTTGCTGCATATAACATTCATCTCTCTCTTGGGCTGGTACCACCCCCTGTATGCAGCTTTCCTTGGCTAATGGCTCCCAGTTTTGGCATTTCAAACCTCTTCTTGGGGTCTCCACTACCAGCCAGGCTTCACTGTCCTAATTTCATGCAATGGCCTGTCAGGGCCTTCTTTATTTCTTTATTTTTTTTTTTAATTCTTTATTTTATATTTATGAGTGTATTGCCTGCATGTAAGTATACCTGTGTTGTGCAATGCCCATGGAGGACAGAAAAGGGTCTTGGATCCCCTGGAACTGGAGTTACAGATGGTTGTTAGCTACCATGTGGGTGCTAGGATTCGAACCCAGGTCTTCTGTAAGAGAAGCCAGTGCTCTTAACCGCTGAGCCATCTCTCCAGCCTCAGGGTCTTCTTTATGCAGGAACACACCTACTGTATGTTGCCTGGCCTTGATGGCTCTCTGAAACCTTGGAGGAAGAGAACCAATGACTCCTTCACTCTTGCATCTTTCGAGTCTCTAAAGCCAGCACCAGATGAATGGCACTGCCAAGTTTGGCTACAAGTTCAGGGTACCCCCCCCCCTCATGCTTCATCCATTTTTGAAGCTCTCTTCAGTGGTTTTCCATTAGAAAACCCCTGAAGCATTTTCCTTTCACAGCTTGGAGGCTTAGCTGGTTGTGGTCTTGCCCCGGAGGCACTCTCTCCATTGTTTAAGGGAAAATCTCTAGGCCTCTCCTTAATCACTTTACTCTCCTTATCAAAGGGACCCTCTCCTTCAGCACATGCCTTGGCTCCAACGTTAGTCTTCCTAGTACTCTTTTTCTATCCAAACTGTACACTATGCATTTCTTTCTGCCCATTTGCTCTTTTTCACTGTAGATCTGTATAATACTCACCATTAATAGCCACACTACTATTTCTACATAGGCTACCTTGAAATATCCTCCACTAAAGAAATTAGTCCATTGTTTTTCAACTTAGCCTCAGGCAAGCTTTTTGGCTGTGAGCAGACTCCAGCCAGACTCTGCCAAAATAACTCGGTTGCTCCTAAAGTCTTTATTTCCCTCTGGAACTACATTGTTCTCAGCATTACTTTCTTCCAGGCGCCTACTAGAAGGGCCTATTAAGCTCTGCTTACAACAATCAACTGCTTTTCTAGACCAAACCTCCAAAGTCTCCCACATACCTCCAAAAACCCACATGGTCAGGTTCTTCACAATAACAGCCCACTCTCAGTACCAATTTCTGTTAGTTACTTTTCTGTTGCTGTGATAGGAACACCATGACCAAGGGAACTTATAGAAGGAAGAGTTTATTTAGCTTATGTTCCAAAGGGGCAAGAGTCCATCATGGCAGGGAATTGTGGTGGCAGAGGTGACTGGAGTAGGAGCAGAAGCTAAGCTCTCACATCTTTAAGCAGGCACAGGAAGCAGAGAGTGACTGGAGATCTGGCAAAGCTTAAGAACTCTGTAAGCTCACTCCCAGTGATGTGCTTCCTCCAGCTTGGCCACGCCTTCTAAAACTTCCCAAAACAGCACCACCAACTGGGGACAAAATGTCTGAATACTTAGAGCCTATGGAGGACATTTTCATTCAAACATCACATTCCCCAACCCCCATACACTCATATACACATGTTCTGGTGAGGAGGATGGATGGGCAGAGACTTGCCCTCAAATCTGGATTCACAGTGAGCCAGTAGGGCTTGCTTTTTGTCTGCCATGTGGAAAGTTTAGCACAGAGCCAAGTATAGTATTTTCAGCTAGGTATGAAGCTAATGAGTCCCTAAAACCGAAATACTATGTTGACCTGGCAAAGAATGTTTACAGGTTTGTATATATGCAGTGCCACCTGAAGAGGGCAGTAAATTCATTTACATTTTCCTTCATCTTCATTACATTTTTCGAAGAAAGTTAAGAATTATAATCCCTGCCACTGAAGACAGAGAAATATGCTCCCTACATCCTCTGTGGGTAAGTTGGTGGCAGGAACAGTGACATTAAACCATTCTCCCTACTTATAACTGCTTCCTGCCCTCTGGAGATGGAGGTTCACATGAGCATCACCAACTGTTTACATACTTCCTCAAGGGCTGAGAATATAGCTCAGTTTGTAGAGTGCTTGCCTGGCATGCACAAAGCCCTAGGTTCTATCCCCAGCATCACATAAACTAGACCCCAGCATTCAGGAGGATCAGCAAGTTGGAGGTCAGCCTGGGCTACATGATTCTCTCAAAGAAAAAGAAAAGGGATTGGAGAGATGGCACAGCAGTTAGGAACACTGACTGCTCTTGCATAGGACCCAGGTTTGGTTCCCAGCACCCACATGGAGGCTAAGAACCATCTATTAATTCCATTCCAGGGAATCCAGTGCCCTCTTCTGGCTTCCCCAGGTATTGAGTGACATGGTACATTTACATACATACAGGCAAAACACTCATACACATTAAATAAACAAAGAAGAAGCCTGGTGTGGTAGCACATACCTTTAATCCCAGCACTCGGGAGGCAGAGGCAAGCAGATCTCTGTGAGTTCAAGGCCAACCTGGTCTACATAGTGAGTTCCAGGACAGCTGGGGCTACAGGGAGACCCTGTCTCAAAAAGACCAAAAAAAAAAAGAAAAATAAAAAAAAAAAACCACTGTATACCCACTTAGTAGAGATGGTGGTTTTAGCTTCTGAACACACCAGCCTTTTCAGATGCTCTGTCATCTGGGGCATGAGAAGCCTCCTTGGAAGAGGTGCTAGGTTGGGCTGGGCTGCCTCCATCTCAGTGGGTCTGTAGAGATAGGTGGCCAAGATGACTGCCAGCCCAGCTCCTTGCTAGCACCTCTCCACTTGCAGTGCTCTGTGCTCTGAGCCACCTGTGTGCTCTTCATTGACTAAGTGACTGCTGTTCAGTTTTCTGCTCTAAGAATAGCCTATGCCAAAAGCTCCGCTTTCCGTATGCTTCTCAGATCCAGTTACTTTATCTTCATCATCATCAACTTGCTTGCAGTGTGATGATGGTGTTTGGTGGTAGACTATGCCCACACAGCACATGGGACTCTGACCATAGTCATGCCCCCCACCAGTTACTGAGCACTCTGTATGTATGTCCTTTGCATCAGTTAGCCTACATAATTCTGCATCACTCTCTGAAGTAGATGCTTTTAATCCCTTTTAAACAGGAAAAAATTAAGGCCGGGAGATTAAGTGACTAGCTCAAAGCCACAGCGCTCATAAGTTTATGAGCCAAGATTTACACCTAAGTCTGTCTGACGTGCACTGTGCTTCAGAGCTTTGGTTTGCCTCCCACAGGAAAGAACATGTGTGCTAAGGTGTCAGGCCTTGTGCTGAAAGTTCTTTCGGATCTCCTTGGCCATGAAAACCATGAGGTACTCAGACCGTGCTGCTTGCCTTGGGATGGGTTTGAGGACTGGGATGGTAACCTGGGTTCTTGTGCCTCACAGGGAAGGGGCTGGCCTAGGACAGTTGCCATATTTAACAAATATATATATTCTTTCCTGGCTTTTGTTTTGTTTGTGTGTGTGTGTGTTTGTGTGCTCACATGAGTGTGTAGGGCTGTGCATGAATATGTATGCAGGAACATGTGGAGACCTGAAGTTGATATCAGATGACTTCCTTGATTGCTCTTCACTTTTTTTTTTTCATCTTTTTGAGATAGGGTCTCCCTGTAGCCCCAGCTGGCCTAGAGCTGGCTCTCTAGACAAGCTGGCTTTGAACTCACAGAGATCTGCCTGCCTCTGCCTCCCAAGTGCTGGGATTAAAGATGTGTGCCACCCCGCCCTGCTAACTCTCCACTTATAAATTAAAGGTGGATCCCTCACTGAATCCAGAGCTCACCTGTTCTGGTAGGTTGGCTAGTTGGCTTGCCCCAGGGATCCCTCTCTCTGCCTCCCAAGTGCTGGGATTATAGACAGCCACCATGCCTGCCCAGTTTTTTTGTGTGCTAGGGACCTGAACTCTAGTCATCCGATCTGCATAGCAAGTATGTTATCCACTGACCCATTTTCTCTACTCCTCTCTGGCTGTTTTGTAAGTGACTTCACATTTTACATAATCTCTAGCGTTTTGCTCCTCATTCTCTGCTGCCTTGCCCCCGCTGGTCTAGCTAGGTCCCTGTCATCCCTCATTTTCTGGTATCATTTCTGCTGGCTGGATTCCTCCCCTGACATTGATACCCACTCCACGGTGTTTGATGTCTGTTTGTGGACATGTGTGGCCTTATAATAGCTCTGGTGCTATGACTCTGTGTGCTTAATTTGCATAAGAAGCATTGCAACCTAGAGCTCATGAGTTGATGACTGTTCCCTGGTATTTTGGGACTTTTCTCTGTTGATTCTTATGCTCCTGGCTCACTAGCCTCACTTCTGCACAGTACTCCCTGGCTTGCACCTATGCCATCTTATATATCTTGTCCCTCACAGGCAGGCCTTGGATGGCTTCGGACTCTGCTACATAGCCATCCTCATTGGACAGCTCCACATTTGCCCCACAGGAGCCTGCACAGAGCTTCCCAGGGTTTATAGCCATCATAACTGGTGTTAATTGTCTAAGTTTTCTAGCTTATGGACCAAACAATAAATAAAGGTGATTAATCTCTTACTTGGTTTTTATAGATGCCTTTGTAGAAATCATGGCATCACTTTTTAAAAATATTTTATTATTTTTATTTTATGTATATGAGTGTTATGCCTACATGTAGGTAAGTGCACCTGTGTTGTGCAGTGCTCATGGTAGACAGAAGAAGCTGTTGGATCCCCTGGAACTGGAGTTACAGACAGTTGTTAGCTGTCATGTGGGTGTTGGGATTTGAACCCAGGTCTTCTGCAAGAACAACCAGTGTTCTTAACCACTGAGCCATCTCTCCAGACCCAGCATCACTTTTTTTAAGACAAGGTCTCATCATGTAGCCCAGCCTGGCCTCAAATTTTCCATGTAGCCCAGCCTTGTAATTTTCCTGCCTCAACACCCCCCCACCCCCAGGAGTGCTGGAATTATACCATACTTTTCACCTGCAGCTGTAGCCTCAGTCAAAAGGAGCCCTCTTTTTTACAGATCAGGCACAGGACAGCTATTGGCAGGACCCTTAGGTCAAGAAGTGCAGTGGGTCGCCATACATCCATTCCCATGCCAAGCAGCATCTCCTGTCTAGTTGATTCCATAGCTGTGTTCCCACAGCCGTATCACCTGATTGACAGTGGCATCTTCAGCAGGTGGATAGTAAGTGGCTGGTTTTGAAATAGAAAATGTTCAGTACCAGCCAGTTTTTCACTACTTCATCTGTCCTGGCCCAATTTCCTCGATCTCTTCTTGGTGTTCAACTCAGCAGACAAATGCAGCAGGAATCACATTCTTCCATCTCTTAATATGATGCAAAAATGAAATAGACCAAAGGTGTCACTTCATGCCATCAGTGTGCCAATGCATTTGTTTTTAAAAATGAGCAATATAGTTTCCAGCCTGCCTGCCATGCACAAAGCCCTGCCTTTAATCCTTAGTACCACATAACCTGGGCATGGTGGCACATGCCTAGAATGCCAGCACTTGGGAGGTGGAGGCAGGAAGATTAGAAATTCAAGGTCATCCTCAGCTACATAACAAGTTGAAGCCAGCCTGAGATATAGGAGACCATGTCTCAAAGAAAAAAAAAGCACAAAAAATACATATATGCTAGGCACTAGGCTTGGTGGTGCACACCTTTAATCCCAGCACTTGGGAGGCAGAGGCAGGTGGATCTCTGTGAGTTCCAGGCCAGCTGGGGCTACAGGGAGACCCTATCTCAAAAAGACAAAAACAAAACAAAAACATACGTTTATATTTTTAGAACCTAGAACAGTGTATGCTGGACAGATGAATGCTGTCCCCATGTGTATTGGATAGCTGTGGTCCTTAAAGAGGAAACCCAGAAGCCATCAAGAGAAAGGTACACGTACTTGACTGTGTGCACATTAATTTGGGGGATAGGGTAGAAAAAGATGTTTTTGATCAAAGTTGAGCAGGTGAAATGGCTTAGCGGATAAAGATACCTGCCACCAAGCCTGAGGACCTGAGTTCAATCCCTGGAACCCCCATGATAGAAGGAGAAAACTAATTCCTGTAAGTTGTCCTCTGACCTCCAGATTAACAGCATTGCACATATGTGCACATGTGCACACACACCTTGCATAAGTAAAAATGTAATACATATTTAAATCCCTAGTAGTTCTTTAAATTCATAAGTAAGAAAAAAATGCTTATAAGTAAAAGGCAAATAATCCCATGGGAAGAAATGGGCACATCATCCTCAGTTTTGCCAGCAGTCAGGGAGAAGGCTAAGGCTGTAGTTCAGAGGTAGAGTATTTGCCTAACATGCCTTAGGCCCTGAGTTAAATTCCCAGTACTTCTAGTAAAGAAAAAAAAAAATAGTGTTTGGCTCATAGCAAGGGAGATGAAATTAAATTACTACAGGATGTCTCTTTCACCCATTAGGTCAGCAAACCTTAAAGGTGACAGCAAGCTGGGTGTGATGACACACAGCTGTGAGCGCAACTCTTGGAAAATGGAAGCAGGCTGTCAAGGCCACTCTCACTTTATAGTGTGTTTGAGGCTAGCCTGGGCTCCATGGCACCTTGACTCAAAACTCCAAAGATAAGCTAGGCATGGTGGTACATGCTTTTATTTGCAACACTCAGGAGACAGAGGCAGAAGCAGGCACATCTCTGAGATCAAGGCCAGTTTGGTCTACATAGCAAGTTCTAGGCCAGCTGGGGCTATAGGGAAACCCTGTTTCAAACAAGCAAACAAAAAAAGATAAGCCAGGCGTGGTGGCACACGCCTTTAATCCCTGCACTTGTGAGACTGAGGTAGGCAGAGCTTTGTGAGTTCCAGGCCAGCCTGGTCTACATAGTGAATTCTATGCCAGCTGGGGTTACAGGGAGACCTTGTCTCAAAAGGAGCAAAAAAAAAAAAAAGAAAGAAAGAAAGAAAAAACCAAGAAACCAGAAAACCCAGTCCAAGAGTAGAGGTATGCACAGGAAGTGAGGGAAAGTCCTGTCAGGGGAGTCAGGAAAGGCTTTCTGGGATTCGTTGTTGCTGGGATTGGAAGGCCAAAGCAGCTGTCCAGGTAGAACATGTGAGAGGAGCATTCACAGCAAGGAGCTATAGGCCTGGGGGGTGCGGGGGGCTGGTGTTTGCAGTGTGTCACTCAAGTAGACTGGAAACTTGGTGGTAGAAAGGAAGGAAAAGGAGGGCAGAGATGGCTCAGCTGTTAAAGAGTTTTCATTGCCCCTTAAGAGGACCAGGCAGTTCGCAAACACCTGTAACTCCAGCTGCAGGGGATCTGACACCCTCTTCAGGCTTCCCTGAGCACCTGTGCATGCACAGTGTACACACACATGCAGACACAGACACACAACTCTTAAAAGAAAGGAGGTAATATGGACACCAACCCTTGAAAGAGCATGCTTTAGATCAGGCAAGGAGTTAGAGCCTTTCAAGTGGGCTCTAAGGTTTCCAAGGCGAAGAATGATTTCATCCATGTTGTAGAATTTCACCAGTGATACCATGGTTGGATCACAGGGGCAAGCCTTAGAGGTAGGGACTAGTTAAGCCTCAGTTATGAACAGTAACATCTGAGCAAGGACAGTATCGGTAGTTGTGGGAAAGAAGGCTCTTAGCAAAAGCCTCAGAGGGCAATCGTTAGGAGGACAGCAGAATCTACTATGACTCCAAACTTTCTGGCCTGGGTGGCCAGGAGGCTGGAAATGATTTTGGTTAAGCAATGACACATAGTAGGAGGAAGGTTTGGAGGACGAGATCCGTTTGGTTTTGAAGTCAGTTGTAGCTGTCAACAAGTAAATGTCATTTGAAATATGCATCTTGGGCTCTGGAGAGTAGGACAGCCACTCTCCCCAGTAGCCAGATTATTCTTAAGTCTGCATTGCATAGTGTTTAAAAACTTGCAAATGATTGGTCTTTTTTCCTTCCCTTAAAGATACAGCCATATGTGAATGGAGCCCTGTACAGCATCCTTTCCATCCCATCCATTCGTGAGGAGGCCAGAGCAATGGTAAGAAAATGTGTTGAGCTGGACCCAGCAGTGAGACCCTGTCTCATAGAAGAAAGTGCTGAGCAGTTCCAGAGCTGCTCCTAACACCATGGGTCAGAGTTGTAGGAGGAAACTTCTTCCACTGGCCTCCAGGGCAGGACTTAATGCAACTTTCAAACTCCCTGAAATAGCATGGAAAAAAAAATACATTTGCAATTTTCTAGAGGGAGAATCTAGCTTTTATTAGAATCTTAAGCGTTGCTGTGGGGGCTGGAGAGATGGCTCAGTGACTAAGTGCACCAGCTGCTCTTGCAGAAGACCCAGGTTTGGTTCCTAGCACCTACATGGTGGCCAATAACTGTCCTTAACTCCAGTTCCAAAGGGATTAGATACCCTCTTCTGTCCTTTGTGGGCATTGCAGGCACATGGTACACTTACATGCATGCAGGCAAAACAGAGTTGCTGTATTAGGAAGTTTCTAGCAGGTTTATTTTGTACTGTAGGCATTTCTGATAGCAACCAAAGAGATAAGAAAAGCTAGTATATTACACAGCTGCCTCCCACATCCTTTGCTAGTGAAGAGAGCTTACTATTTAAATTCCTTTACATATGGACTAATATTTGTATATTTGAAGTAAAAGAACAAAGGCTGGGTGTCTTATTTTGGGATGACAGTTATTTCTTAACCAGTAAAACTACTAAAGCTTTGTCCTTTTTGCTTACACAGTGTGAAACTAGGGTAACCATGTATGTATTAAATGCAATGATTAAGGGAATAAATGTATTTCCACACTTGAAACACAGACTAAGCCAGGCATGGTGGTGTACACACTTTAATCCCAGCACACAGGAGGCAGAGGCATGTGGATCTCTGTGAGTTGAGTCCAGCCTGCTCTGCATAAGGAGTTCTAGGCCAACCTGGACCCTGTCTCAAAAATAAATAAATAAATAAATAAATAAATAAATAAATAAATAAATAAACAGACTAAATTTAGAGGGAGACCACAAGAACACTCTGCCAATTTGTTTTGCACTCTTAGGACTGATAAATCTTCTAGTTGGCCATCTAAAATCATGTTAACATGAAACAGGGATAATTTGTTTAAGAGCCATAACCATTCTGTGTGAACATACCAAACAGTGGAACTTTGCCTTCAACATTAAAACTAGTATTTAGTAGCCAGGCGTGGTGGTGCGTGCCTTTAATCCCAGCACTCGGGAGGCAGAGGCAGGTGGAGCTCTGTGAGTTCAAGGCCTGCCTGGTCTACATAGTGAGTTCCAGGACAGTTGGGGCTACAGGGAGACCATGTCTCAAAAAGACCAAAAAAAAAAAACCAAAACACAACTAGTGTTTAATGCCAGCAAATGGCTCACTGGGTAAAGGTGCTTGCCACAATCCTGACAACCTCAGTTCAGTCCTGAGACCCATGTGGTAGCAGGAGAGAACCGACTCCCACAAGTTGTCCTTGTCATGTGCCTGCTGTGACCGTGCACCTACATACACTAAAATATAATAAAACTAATGTTTAAATTTTTTAAATATACATTTTCAGTATGGAACAGAAAAAACAAACTTGATCATATTCTGTATTATGGCTATTTAGAAAGAGGATTATCAACCAAGAGGGGAAAAAAAAATGTTGGCTAAGAGGAGGAATAGAAATGGCACAGCTTCAAAGAAGGGGGGCGGGGAAGCAGGATGGAACAGCTGAATGCAGAGTACCGATCACCCAGTGTTTAAGAGCCCTTGAGGCAATCCTTACTGAAAAGGGTTGGGGAAGGGAGGGTCCAAGGCAACCACTGGTTAGAGATAGAGACCATCTAGGAGAGAAAGGGCAGGTGGACAGAAGGGCAGAGCCTCCAGTGCCATAGCAGTAACAAGGTCTACCATCTGTCTAAGAGCAGAAGGAGAAATAGGGGGCCGGAAAGGGTTATACAGTAGTGAAACTGGTAAAAAAACAAAAGCATAACAGTTTTTTACTTTAAAACAAAAACTGACTCAGATAAAGTCATATGTATGAGTTACTTTTCTGTTGCTGTGATAGAAACACTGACCAAAGCAACTTATAAAAAGAAGAGTTTATTTGAGCTTACGGTTCCAGAATTAAAGTCCATCATGGCAGGGAGCCATGGTGGCTGGAGCAGGAGCAGAAGCTAAGCTCTCACATCACCAAGCTGGCACAGGAAGCAAGAGAGCAACTCAGGATCCAGCAGGCTAAGAACTCTCTAAGCCGGACCCCAGTGACGCACTTCCTCCAGGATAGCCACACCTTCTAAGCTCTCCAGAACATAGCCACCAACTGAGGACAAAATGTCTAAATACTTGGAGCCTATGGGAGACATTCTCATTCAAACCACAACATACATACAGGCTTTCCTAAAGTTAAGCTGTGGAGAGTTGAACCCCTTGTTGGCTTGAGCAAAGGAGCCTTTTAGATACATCCCCGAGGCGTTTGCCCACTTGACTGCTTTAGAAGTGGCCTCAAGGCATAGTTATGGCCATGGTAAGGTTTCTCTAAAACTCTGGGATTTCCCTCACTTCATTTTGTCCTTAGGTTGGTAGAGCTGGTACATTCCTGTTGCGTGTGGGCTTTGGGTGCATTTGCTCTCAGCATCTAGCTGGGGATGCAAAATAGTAATAGTAAAGAGAACAGGACAAGGACAGTGTCCACCACAGCCTCATCTTCTTGGTATCTGCTCTTGCACAGTTCCAGAGAAGTGGAGGCAGGGCTGGTACTTAGACCAAGTCGTGCAGTGTTGGTCCTTTCCATGTAAAAGGTAGTAGACACTGCATGTGACAAGCCCTTGGAGTGTCTGTGATGGGCTTGTTCACGTCCCTTTAGTTAGTGCAGAGAACTCTGGTTGGTGACCTTCTTGTCAAGACATTTACAATAGTGAGATCCTGAAGCAGCAAATGTCCAGTAAGAGGAACTGCTAATGAAATCATGGTTCTTTTGCTCAAAATGTCAGTAGTTATTGAAGATGATAATTAGGAAGCACAGTACGAAGCACTGTGGAAATTATTATATAATTAAGAATTAAAGCAGAATATGTCATCATAACAATTCTGGTTTTGTTACTTGGTAGAACATCAAGTTCTTACGGTAAATGAAAGAATGTAGGTAAGAGACTTATTAGTATTGAATGCTGTTATAGCAGTCCTACAATTGTATCAAAAGGGGATGGGTGAGTCTCCTGAGGCCCACTTAAACTTTGAGAACTGGCCACTGTCTGGGGCTGGAGAAGAGATGAAGTAATTAGGACTGCCTAGTACCTGTGTTCAAGCCTCCTGCAACTAAAGTTGGAATAGCTACTTGCACAGGGCTGGAGCAGGACAGGTATAAAGGTTTTTAGAATCTAGGAGAGCTGGTTGCTGGGCTTAGAAGCTACCCAGCCTAGCCAGATGTGGTGCCGCACACCTGTAGTCCCAGCACTTGGGAGGCAGAGGCAGGCGGATCTCTGTGAGTTCAAGGCCAGCCTGGTCTACTAGTGAGTTCCAGGACAACTGGAGTCTACAGGGAGACCCTGCTTCAAAAAGATCAAAAAAAAAAAAAAAAAAAGCTACCCAGCCTGGAGGAATGCCCACATGACACTGCAGCTAAGGAGAAAACTTCTCTAAAAGACATTTAGTAATAGATCAGATAGTTGCGACTGGAACACATAGAATATGGCAGAGTTGACTTGTTGAGCATATGGTAGATAAAAACAGGTGCAGGGCCAGGGAGGTGACTTGGTTGGTTAAAGTGCTTGCCTTGTAAGTATGAGGGCCCGAGTTCAATCACTAGAATACACATCAAAAAAAAAAAAAAGTGCCTATTATGGTGGCACATGCCTATGATCCTAGTGCTGGAGAAGCAGAAACAAGTAGATCCCTAGGGCTTGTTGGCCACTCAGCCTGGCCTAGTTGGTGAGCTCCAAGCCAGTAAGAGAAACAAGGACTGGGTGTGGTGGTGCACACCTTTAAATCCAGCGGAGGTAGGCCAAACTGTGAGATTGAGATCAGCCTGGTCTACATAGCAAGTTTCAGGCTAGCTGGGGCCACATAGTGAAACCTTGTTTGAAAAAAAAAAAGACAGTGCTTGAGGAATGATACATGAGGTTGTTTTCTGGCCTGCATATGTACCCACACCCACAGGAACATGTGCACATGTGTGTATACACATGCAACAGTGCACCTAGTGGTGCTCAGTGCTCATTCCGGGACTGCGACAGGTGCTTCCTCCCACCTAACCAGCCCAGAGGCCTCTGGGAAGGACTGACTGATTGTGCCCATTTCTTTGCTAATGACTTTAAGGTAAACTTTTCTGTCTGGAGCCACATAGCTAGGGAGGAGCCCGTCCTGTGTTTGCTTCCAGAGCTTTCCGTGCCCATGCTGCAGTGTCACACCACAACTCAGAAGTGATCCCATCCTTTTAAATTAATCAATTTTTTCAAAACAGGGTCTCCCTGTAGTCCCAGCTGACCTAGAACCTGCTAATGTAGACCAGGCTGGCCTCAGCCTGCCACCTCCCAAGTACTGAGGATTAAAGGCTTGTGCCACTGCCCTCAGCTATTCATCTTTTTTCTTTCTTTTCCCCCAGTGCTGGGGATGAAACTCAGGGTGTCTTGAAAGCGAAGCAAGTGCTCTGCTGCAAAACCACATCCCTAGCACTAATCCAGTCTTCAATCCAACAAGAAATCTGGATGTGATAGAGTGTTTTCTTTCCCTAAACACTGTAATACAGTTTCCTGTGTTGTGACAGGCTGAGCATCCCTAACAAAAACCCAGAATCTGGGGACTGGAGCGATTACTCGGGTTTAGAGCACTGGCTGCTCTTTAGAGGACCTCAGTTTGGTTCCCAGCACCCATGGGCAGCCTACAGTCACCTGTAACTCCAGCTCCAGGAGATCCAATGCCCTTTTCTGGCCTCCTCTGGCACTCACACATACATAACCTACAGACACACACCTGACATATACACCTGAATAAAAAGTAAAATCTGTAAAATATATGTGTTGTCATAAATGTATACATTAGGAGAGAATACATGATGAGCAGACTCAGTAACAAACTCCAGTTAATTAAATCCAGATCTGAAATGTATGGGGTGCGCAGGGACCTCGGGGCGCCAGCTGCTAGCGTGGCGCCGGTCCCTTGCATGCACCTGGAGGGCGGCGGGTCTCTGCTACCGAGGCTGGCTCGGTCGAGTTCCGCCCCAATTTCACCCGTGCACTCTCTCTATAGGTTCAGGGCCCGTCAGCTGCCGGGTCACGAGGAGAGGTGCGGGACGGCTAAAGCTGGATTTCCGTGAGTCGATGACGGAAGGATAGCGCCCCCCAGGAAGACTGGATCGTAGGCAATAAGACACGGGACTCAGCTTAGTCTGTGTTACAGCTCTTTATTCAGTGACTCAGCTTGGCTCCAAGTCTTGGTGATCCAGCTTCAGCTCCAGCTTCAATTATTGAGGAAAAACCAGGACACTTTATACCGTGGGGGTGGTAGTAAAAACCTTAGCTGATAGGTACTTTTAGGATGCCCCATCTACACGTGGGCTTTCCAGACATGAAGAGACTACTACTTTACACAGCAGGAGTCCCCAACAGAAATGCTCCAAAATCAGATACTTTTTGAGCATAGGCATAAAGCCACAGATGGAAAATTCACACCATGACACTTTGTTTCATGTACAAAATGATTAAAACTTCTGTGTGGCCAGATGTGGTAGTTTATGGTCCAGCAATCAGCAGGGAGGAGCAAGGAGGATGGTGAGTTTGAGCAAGTCTGGGCCATATATACAGTGAGACTGTGTCTCAAAACAGCAACGACAAGAAATATTTATATTTATGTGCACACACCCAATTATCTTGAGGCTACATATATAAGAGATATATGAAACATAAATGAATTTTGTGTTTAGAATTAGGTCCCATCCCTAAGGTATCTCATTATGTGTATATAGATATTCCTAAATCTAAAAAAAAAATCCCAGTTCCTTTAGGTCCCAAGCATTTCAGCTAAGGTAGACTCAGTCCAATGGCCGGCAGGGCACAAGTTCTTTATTTCTTTACTCTTGGTCCACTGTGCTGTCAGTCATCCAAGAGGCTGGTGAGGAATCCCTGTTCTTATCCTTCCCATCTACCTGGCATTCTTACAGGTCTAGGGTTATCTGAAGTGCCAAGTTACTACTTTTAGCATAGGATACTGGGTTTTGTTGTTTTGTTTTGAGACAGGGACTCTAGTCTAGGGTGGTCTGGAACTCTTGATCCCCTCTTCCTGCTTCAGCCTCCTGAATGCTAGGATTACAAGTGTGAACCTCCACACCAGCAAAATACTGTTATTTTTTATGCCTTCTCATTTCTGTAATTTAGATTAAACATTACTTAATTTATGTAGTTTTAAAAAATAAAAGCTTCACTGGAGTATTTGCTGTGAAGAAATGGTCTCCAAACAACCCGCCTAACTAAAGAGGAACTGAGTGTTTGTTTTCCATGTAATAACTGACTGGAGATATATGAGAGTCAATGAGACTAAAATGATCTATAAAGATATGGGGAGATAATCCTCACAGAAGTCACCTCTGGGAGGGAAGTTGGAAGAGGGCTTGAATGAATTCTTTGTCTCTGGCTATTTCTAAGCTGCTCAGTGGTGATTCTGGTTGTTAGCACACTGGGATTGATCACAGGACTTTGTCATGATGAGATCCTCCTTCCCCTGGACCTTACCTGGTAGGGATAGAACATGGGGAAGAGGCCGCTTTGTCAGACAGAGACAGCAAGTTTAGCTCTTCTGGCAGCCAATGGCCAAGGTGGACTTTGGTTGGTGACTCTAAGACAGGCCCAGATGTCTGACTGGCCCCTCAAGAGCTGGGTACAGTGGTCTAATCTCTTTGAAATGCTCTACCCTTGACTCCAGGACTCCAGGTCTTTCCTTTCCTAGACCATTCCTTCCTTCATGATCTCCCCTGTGGGCTTCCTAGCTCTGCCTCCTGTGGAGTGTCACTGTTCTTGGAGGTTCTGGCCTAGCCCTTTGCTCTTCCCACTGTGCTTACTGAAGCACCTCATTTACTCCGTTGACTTTAGCTGCCTGCCCTCTTGCCTGACCCACGTCTCCACAGTGAGGATTGGCTTCTGAGTTGACATGAGATTTTTTTAAAAGACAAAATTTATCAGCTGAATATGGCGGCGCACGCCTTTAATCCCAGCACTCAGGAGGCAGAGGCAGGCGGATCTCTGTGAGTTCAAGGCCAGCCTGGTCTACATAGTGAGTTCCAGGTCAGCTGGGGCTACAGGGAGACCCTGTCTCAAAAAAGACCAAAAAAAAAAAAAAGACAAAATATATCACTGGTGTTGCTTATCTAGAGGTCTCATGTCAACTCAGAAGCCAGTCCTCGCTATGGAGTTGCAGAAACAACTGGGAGAGGTTGAGTGATTTGAGTAAGGCAGCACCCGACCTTGTGTGGGAGCTCTTGCTGTGGGAGCTGCAATCACATCCACAGTCTGTATGTTCAAAGTGAATTGGAGCATCTGTGATTCAGTTAGATCTCTTGATTCCAGTGCAGTCTATTAAAAAAGGGAGCACACTGACTCATGTCATTGCAAACTCAAGAATAAGAGGCAGTTTGATTAGGGTTTTGCATGTCAGTGGGCCACCCCTCTGAACTCTGCTTCCTGTATTTGGGTTCATTATTAGACATGCTTCCCCTCTTGGTGTCAAGAAAAATGCATCAGGTCAGGCATGGCACATGCACATAATCCAATGCTGGAGGGAAAGAGAAGGAAGAGGAATTACACTGCCTAAGTAAAATCTTTGCCTTTAATTCTGTTAGCCAGAATGGAAAATTCTGGTGTCACTGTATTACAATGCCACGGTGTAGTAACAGTCGTTCTCTTTAAAAATGAACTAGTTGTTGTGGGAAGGTGGTCTGCACGTGCCCCAGCATAGGTGCTACAGTGCATGCGTGGAAGTCAGAGGCTAACTGTGCATGAGTTGGTTCTCTTCCTCTGCCTTTTTAAAAAAATATTTTATTTATTATTTTTATTTTCTGTGTATGTGTGTATTGCCTGTGTGTAGGTAAGTGCACCCAGATCATACAGTGCCCACGGAGGACAGAAGAGGCTGTCAGATCCCCTGGAACTGGAGTTGACAGCAGTTGTTAGCTGCCGTGTGGGTGCTGGGATTTGGACCCGAGTCTTCTGTAAGAACATATAGTGTTCTTAACCGCTGAGCCATCTCTCCAGCCCCTCTGCCTTGTTTGGAGGCAGGGTCTCTTACTGTTTCTGCTGCTACACTCTGAAATCCAGGCTGTCTGGCCTGCAAACTTCAGCCAGTTCTCCAATCCTTGCTTGCTGTCTTGCTGTAGGCATTCTGGGATTACAGATGTGCACCATCTTATCTGGCTTTTTACTAGATTTCCCTGGGTGGACCTCAGGGTCATCAGGCAAACACTTTGACCCACTAAGCCATCTCCCCAGCCCCACTGAAAAGTAGTCGTCCACCCTCACCTCCAACACTGAAATGTTAGCTGTCTCTCTATTGCTCCTAGGGAATGGAAGACATCCTGCGCTGCTTCATCAAAGAAGGCAATGCCGAAATGATCCGCCAGATAGAATTTATCATCAAGCAGCTAAATTCTGGTCAGTTTCATGCAAGAATCTCTGACTTGTGTTTTGAATTGTTGTTGTGTGTCAGAAAGATGCACGGTCTTTCTTGGGAGTCTTGTCACATCTTGGATGTCATTCTAGAACCCTTTTGAGTCACATGTGGTAGAGTCCCCTGCAATCACGGCACTAGGGAGGCTGAGTCAGGATCACCACGAGTCCAAGGCCAGACTAGACTATGTAGTAAGACCTTGTCTTAAAAATACAAAACAAGGGTCTGGAGAGATAGCTCAGCGGTTAAGAGCATTGACTGCTCTTACGGAGGACCCAGGTTTGATTCCCGGCACCCACATGGTGGCTATGAACCGTCCTTAACTCCAGTTCCAAGGGAATCTGAAGCTCTCTTCTGACCTCCGTGGCATTGCACAACATGGATGCACTCCATACATGCAGGCAATACACTCATACACATAAAATAAAAATAATAAATATTAAAAAAACAAAACAGAGGCCTACAAGGGTGGGAAGTGGGGAAGCTCATTTTGAACTCATGAATAAAAGTTCAGCCAAGGTCTGGGTGTATAATTCAGTAATAGAGTGTCTCCCTAGCGCACACGCACACACAAACACACACACACACACACACACACACAAAGGGGGGTGGGGATATAAATAATAAAAAGATGGGAGGGAGTAGGGGCAGGGGAGCTAACTCAGTCAATAAAGTGCTTGCCATGCAAGTGTAAGGACTGGGATGTAATCTCTGTCACCCATGTAAAAAACCAGGCAAGGTGATAGACACTTGTCCCAGAGCTGGAAAGTTGGAGACAGGTAGATCCCTGGGCTCACTGGCCAGTCAGCCTAGCCTGATCAGACAAAACAAAGTGGACACCTCTGAGGAATGACACCAAGATTGATCCCTGGCCTACACACACATGTACATGTACACCCTCCCTGCATACACACACAGACAAATTTAGCGAAGTAGTCAAGGCCAGATTGCCCAAGGTTAACATCTCTTATCAAACTAGAGATCTCTTATCACATTTGAGGTGTGTAGTTAACAAAAAAGAAATTCAAAGCAATTACAGGAGCCTTCTCTGCCCTTATAAGATCTCTTTATGGGCCCCTCCTGTCCCCTCCTAAATCCTGTCCCACTGATAAGCACCGTAAGGGCCACTTCCCCAGGACATAGGGCAGTTAATGAAACAGATGCCAATCTTCCAGAACCTTGTAGAAAATGTCATCATCCTACTTCATTTGTCATTCGCTGCAGACTGCCACTTGACAGCAGGGGAGGAGGCAATGTGGTCCTTTCCAGTTTTCTCCATTGCCATAACAATACATATCCAATAATAAGGTGAGAGGGCCAGGGAAGCCTTACATGGGACAGGGGAGGTAGGAAAGCTCCAGGACCTTTCTGTGGACTCCTGACACAGAGGAGTCTGGTGTTGCCCGTGTTGGGGGCCAAGTTTATCATATGGGTCTCCCCATGCCTTCCCTGGCACCCAGCAGTACGTGTGTAAATCCCTCTGAGCACTCAGCCAAAGGTTGGTGTGTCCTCATCTCCCTCATCTCCTCAAGTCAACCATTTGATCTACACCACACAGGGAAATGCCAGAAATCCACAGGATCTTCCATTCCTGGTTCCTAGTTTCAGTCCTGACCATACCAACCAAATCAGAGTCTTGGGAGATCAGGAAGCTTTGAAGTCCCCAGGTGGTCCCAGTGAGGTAGAATACTGCCCCTGGTAAAGCCTCAAGAAAATTCCAGCCTGTTGAAGGTCAAGTGCAGAACATGTAGCCCCCAGGAACAGTACTTCCAACCCTAGCCCATGCCACAGCTCTAGGTGTCAGCTATGGTAGACAGTAGATACTAGCTAGTCATGAGAGGAAGGTCATGGGCACCAGCCAGGACATAGGACAGGAGCAAGGGAGAGTGGGCTGTCAGCTCTAGGCCCTGCTAGTTACCAAGGAAAGCCCTCTGTGGGGCATAACGCTAACTCAGGAACAGTGAGGGTTTAGTTATCCCAGGGAGGAGGAGCTGAGGCCTGTAATTACTCCAGTTCACAGGACAGAGGGTTCTGGGTAGTGGGAATGTCTGTGCCAGCAGTGACAAGCTTATGGGATTGGGGATTGGGATCTAGGCTAAGGAAGCAGAGAGTCAAGGGAGTAGCCAACTGATGACCCTAATATGTGAACAGGAGGAGTTTGTAATCGGTAAGCCTAGCAGGACTGCCATTTTGAAAGGCACTTTGTGAAGGTAGACTGGAGTGTGCTGTTGATGGGCAGAGATGGGAAGTTACAAGATTAAATCTCAGCCAGAATGCAAAATGACACACCAGCCTTGTGTCTGCAAAGCACTGTCTGGAACAACCTGCATTCTGACAGTGGTGCAGGTTAGGAGGGGACAGAGCCATGCAAGACCCAATGAACCACAGACAGACTTCTGTGCCCTTCTGGCCCTGGACCAGGAAAGTCAGTAGAGACCTTTCCTAGAATGAGGCTGTATGGACATGGGGTACTTCCCTCTTGGAGGTCTCACTTGCCTGCCCCTTTCCAAGTGAGCTAGGCAGTCTCTTCAAGTGTGGTCTTTGGTTCCTCCTTTTCTCCTACTTCTTGTTTGACTTCCTCTCTTCTCTCCTTTCTTGACCTTTGTATCTTACTTTCAAGAAATGAATGCCAATTAGGAAGATGCAGTGGAGACATAGAAGAAGTAAATCAGGTGCTCTGCCTCCAGGGACTTAAGAACCCAGTAGAGTGGAATGAGAAAAGAGGTACTAGGGTTTTCTAGAGGAGTGAAAGCAACAGAATATGGATATAATTATATTATGTTGGGATAAGTCAGATGTGCCTGGAATGTAGACCATGGCCACCAGGCCGGATACCTCCTAGTGAGTAGGGCAGGAAACTGGCCTTCTCCATTCTAGATACACTGTCTCTTACCCAACCACCCCCAAGCAAAACTATTAAGTCCCTAATGCTTTAATCCTAATCGGGTCCCTTGTAGATAATGTGACCAGAGGACAGGACAAAGCCCATGTAGCCTTAGAAGCCCCCTCCCTCCCCCCACCTGCCTCTCTGCCAGAAACCCAACCCCACCTCTTTGCCCATGAAAATTTCCTATATAAACCTTCTGCCATAATAAACGAGCTGTCCACTGACACAGTCTCCCGGGGGTGTTTTCTCCCATCGTTCTTGCCACTGTCCAAGGCCTCCCTCTCCCCGCTAGTCTCTCTCCTCACCCCAACCTTCTGCTGTGGGGACCGGTGCACAATGGTCTCCAAGCGGCAGCGGAGTTTGGGCCGAGGGGAGGCCGGCAATATATATAAAATTACAAAAGAGAATTTATTAGATTGGCTTACACAGTTGGAGGCTGGGTTGTCCTTCAATGATTGTCTGCCTACTAGAGAGGCAGAAAACCTGGGAGTTGCTTAGTCCAAGAATCTGGAAGCCTCAGAACTAGAAGGATCAATACTGTAGTGCCAATCCAAGTCCAAAGGTCTGGAGGTTTCTGGAGTGTCACTGGTATGAGTCTGCAGTGAAAGGTTGACAAAATTAGAGCAGCCATAGGCATACCTGCACTGGAAAACAGAGTTGCACACGGGGCTGGTTTTCTCCCACTTTTACCTTATCTAGCTCCACAGCCTTTTGGATCATGCTACCCATGTTCAGGGAAGGTCTTTCTCACTCATTCGCTGTCTGATTTGACAGTCATCTTGGGCAATGCACTTGTATTAGTTAGTTTTCTTGCTGTGACAAGATAACTTGATAAAGTAACTTAAGGAAAGGTTATCTTGGCTCACAGTTTGAAGGTACAGTCCCCTCATGGTGAGGCTGTCAGGGTAATAGGAACTTGAAGGAACTGTTCCCCTTGCATCTGCAGGCAGGAAGCAGAATGAGATGAATCTAGAGCTTAGCTTACTTTCTCCTTTTTCTTTAGCCTGTGAAATACTTCCCACATTTAGAGGGACTCTTCCCACCCAATTAACCCAATCTAGAAACTCCCTCACAGACAGTTCAGAGGTTTGTTTCCATATTTCTAAGTCCCATCAAGTTGACTCAAGATTAACAAAGTCACATCCAGAAGTGAGCTTTACTAATTTCCTAGGCATCTCTTAATCCAGTTGAGTTAGCAATCAAGATCAACGGTCACAGAGGCTTCCTGGCACGTTGGTAGCCATCCATCCTCTAGGAAGCAGGGTCCTTCACAAAGGATAGTGTTCTTGGGAGTTGTAGGTAAAATGCTGAGGGAAAGATGATGGCTCAGTGAAGGGTCAGGGAAAGTTTCGTGGAGGAGAAAATAACCCATAATTTGGGTGATGCCTGCTGTGTACCTGGGCCAAGTGCTTTAGTTCTAGTGTGCTGTAAAATCCTTCCACCCACCCCTTACAACCCTTCTTGTATGCCACCTGGAAGTAGGCAGTATGAGTGAGCTCCATTTGGTAGGTGAGGAAATGGCTCATTCTTTCTGTTTCTGAATACTGTGAACTTACGCTCCCTTGTAATCTCTAAAGGTCTAGTGATGAGTTGCAGAGCTTTCAAGAAACTGATGTCCTGTTGCTACCCCATGGAAAAGTCACGGGTGTTATATTATGAATCTGTTGCTTTCAGACATGGCTACACTAAGAGACCAGGTGTGGCAGCCTGGAAGAAATCAGGCTATTCTCCCCTACAATTTATCCTAGGACAAAGAACTGACAGGCCCCTGCTGTGATTGGAAGAGAAGCCTCTTTATCCCTTCAGGGCTCCATCATGCTGTCTTATGTGATCATGTGATGCCATATCTCTTCTAATGCTCTCCCCCTTCAAGGTCCCTCCTGATCACAAGGCTCTCTCTCCTAATAAAGCTCTTCTGAAGGGTAATCTCATGTCAACTCATTCCCTACACCTACATTTTTAAGTTATAACTGGGGTTTAGAAGTAGACTTGACTCGAATCTCAGCTCTGTCACGTATGTGGAGTGGAGCCAGAGTTACGTCTCTGGTTCCCTCTGCCTCTCCTTAGTACCTATGAATGGAGTGATGCTCAACAAAGCCATCATAAGGATTAAGTGAAATAGCCCTTGTGACAGACTCTAGCAGGACCTCTAGGAGTAAATACTACTTTATTATCCTGCTGTTTCCTCCAATGATGTGTTGGCTTGTAAGTGTTTGATGTGTTCTGATAAAAACAAAAATTTACTTAAGGTTGCTAAGGATAATAGCAAATTGTGGCTGAAATAGTCATGATTAGAGATGGCCAAGAGAATGAATGGGTATAATCATTTATGGCCAGGAGTGTGAAAGGCTGGTGAGCCGGAGCTGTCATGGCTGTGAAAGGGTCATGATCAGGAGTGGTTGGGGTGTCAAGGGTTGTGGTCAGGAGAAGACAGTTTTTCGGTAACTCACTCAGGTGCTCATATGGCTGCACTGGCTGAAGGAGTTCATGGATCAAGGGCCTTGCCCTGCTTTGTGGTTAGTCACTTTTTTTTTTTTCTTTATAGAAGATTTATTGGATGGTATTCTTGAATCTGATGATGAAGATGAAGATGAAGATGATGAAGTAAGTAGAAGACTTTTGAGACCACTGTATCTCTCCCATGCCATGAACAGTTAGCCAGAAGTGGGGTCTTCCTTCCTCTGTGCTGTGCCTCACAGTTCTGGGGTTAGAGAAGGCTCAGTGGGTAGTGGTTCCACAGTTCCACCTGGGGTCTCATGTGTCTGCCTCAGTGTCTAGTCCTCCTTCATCCAACAGGGCCTCTCTCCCAAGTGTCTGGCATCTTCAGTGGTCCAGCCAACTTTTTATGGGTGAGCAGCTAGGCCCCCAGAGGGAAAGACCCAAAGTTTCCCATCCAGCTTCAGAACAGCACTCCTGCTGCATTCTGCTCAAAGCCTATTCAAGCCCAGTCCAGATGGGGAGGCATGGGGGGTGGGGACAGGACGACACAAGGGGATGGGATGACATGACAAGACAAGACGGGACATAGTCTCTACCTTGTGATGGAGAGGACAGCAGGAAGTGATTCCCACCACACCTCACACAGCACAGGTGCAGCATCCTATCTCCTTTATCCTTGATGGGAAGCCAAAAGATGGTTTTTCTCCATGAGTTTTTCACTCTGAAGGGGTGTAAGTTCTTTCCTCTCCCCTTAAATGACAGGAATGTTGGGCACTTAGACTCATGATGAGATGCTCTGTGCCAAAGGATTCTGCATTTGGTTGGGAGCTGGCAGACCCAACCAGTGTATTGTTTTCATTTTTTTTTAATTTCGGTTTATTTGACTGTGAAAAACCTCCCTCCCTCCCTGGTCCTCAGAAGTTAATGGGGGTGGTGTGGCAGACAGCAACTCAGGGACTGCAGGTGGATGTTCAAATGACAAGCTTTTGTGTTGTTTTTCCCCCTCAGAGACCTAGAAAGGGCAAGACACATCATCCTGTCATTCTTGTAACACATGACTTCCTTTCATTCTGTACCTGGGTGCAGTTAGTGTTGTTTGAGGAGCATTTACTCCAAACATTGATGTGGGAAGGTGGATTTTTACTTGCAATTCTGCACTTTCAATTTAAAAAGTGTTCAATGAGGGGCTAGAGAGACGGCTAAATGTTTAAGAGCACTCACTGCTCTTGCAAAGAACCTGAGTTCCGTTCCCAGCACCTGCAATGAATGGCTCACAACCACCTGTAATTCCAGCTCCAGGGAAATCTGATGCCTCTGTTCTTTGAGGGCACCTGCACGCTCGTGTACATGCCCCTCCCCCCAGCATATAATTAAAAATAAAACTGAGAGCCAGGTGTAGTGGCATAAGTCCTTAATTGTAGCACTCAGGAGGCGAAGACAGATGTCTGTGAATTTGAGGCCAGCCTGGGCTACATAGTAAGACCCTGTCTCTAAATAAATAAGTAGATTTTAAAATTAAAATTTTTAAAAGTTTTCCGTGAAGGTTTGTGTTCCTTAGTAGCATTAGTTGTGGCAGTAGTTACTTAGAAGTCCCCAGGAAGAGGGACATGCTGAGATCTGCTAGGTAACTGGCCCCAGGAGGCCAATCTCTTTTTGGGCTGCAGGTGGCACCAGCAGGCATTCCTGCTGCTCCTCTTGCCCCTGTTGGAGACAGCATCCCCCCAAAGACTGAGGAGACTCAGTCTGGTGCCACCAGGAGGGCGGTAGTGGTAAAATGTGGTGTAGTGGTATCAGTGGACTTTCTGTAAAGGGGAAGGCTGGCAATGTGTCAAACTGGGCGGGCTATGTGGTCTCAGTTTCAACCACCAAGTTGTGTCCTTTAACACACAGTAGCTGTTGGGGAACCTGGCTGTATTCCACTAAAACTATTTGTGGACACTAAAAATTAGAATGCCATATAATTTAATTTTTTTTCAAATATTTAAAAACAAAGTTTGGGGCTAAAGAGATGGCTCAGTGGTTTAGAGCACTGACTGTTCTTGCAGGTTCAAATCTGAGCACCCACATGGTGGCTCACAGCCACCCATAACTCCAGTTCCAGGGGATCTGATGGCCTCTTCTGTCTTCTATGGGCATTGCACAACACTGGTGTACTTACATACATATAGGCATAAAGCTCATATGTATAAAATAAAAATACAAAAAAATTTTTAAACATAAAATTCTTTCTTTGCAGGCTGGGCATGGTGGTGCACACTTTTAATCCCAGCACTCAGGAGGCAGAGGTAGGCAGATCTCTGTGAGTTCAAGGCCAGCCTGGTCGACATAGCAAGTTCCAGGCCAACTGGGGCTACAGGGAGACCCTGTCTCAAAAAGACCAAAAAAAATTCATTTTTTGCTTGAAGTTAAACACAGGCACTGGAACCCAAAGGCTGTTGTTGCCACACTAAGACAGAGGCCAGCAGCAGCCAGTCTGAGCTTCATTACAGAAGATGTCATCTTTGTTCCTGGCCCCTCAACACTGTTCGGGTTATGGATTAATATTTTAATCATTTCATGTCCATAACTTTTCGTTTCACTATCCAAAAGTTCCTCTGAAGCTCGATTTTCCCTCCTCTGGTGTCATCTTTTGGGGATTTTTGGTTTGCTTAGTTTTTTGTTTTTATGTGTTTGTTTTGGTTTTGTTTTGGTTTGTTTTGGTTTGTTTGGTCTTTTTGAGACAGGGTCTCCCTGTAGTCCCAGCTGTCCTGGAACTTACTATGTAGACCAGGCTGGCCTTGATCTCACAGAGATCCGCCTGCCTCTGCCTCGGAGTGCTGGGATCAAAGGTGTGTCACCACGCCCGGCTTGTTTTGTTTTTTTGAGATAAGGTCTCACTGTGTGTCCCTGGATGGTCTTGAACTCACTGTTGCTTTGGGTTTTGATTGTTTGTTTTGCTTTCTTTTCTTTTGAGACCAGGGTCTTGTTCTGTAGTCCAGGCTGACCTCAGACATTCCATCTTGCTTCTCAGGTTCTGGGATTACAGGCATTGATCCTCTGGCTTGTTTTTGTTTTGATATGAATCATTTAGTTTTTGTATTGAGAAATTCATTTGGTCCAAACGTGCTGGTTAATGATAAAATTCAACTTGTAGAACATCTCCTTTAGAAGCATCTGTAGTCAGCTATAAAATGTACAGATACTAAACTGGATTCGTTGCTACTCTACAGATTTTTATTTTCAGAGGTTGATGTTTGAAAACATTTGTTATAACTAGGCTTTCCAAAGATTCCTAGAAGAGGTTTAGTATGGAGAATAAAACAACCAAAATGTGACAGAGATGAGCTCAGGCCAGCGGGTCATGGGCTTCTCTTCTGAAAGCCTCTCAGTGGACTACAGTGTTAGCAGGGCCCACTGGGTCTGGTTTCATTCAGCTTTTCACCAAGGGTAGGCATTTCTTTCACAACTGTCTGTTAAAATTGGTGGGGGGAATAAAGAGTGACAGATGCTTAGGTCAGGACAAACCCCCAGGGACTTGAGCAGTGGTACAGTTGTTGCCTCTCCAGATGATAATGCTGAGGAAGACAGCTGCTGATTGTCTCAGCATCAGAATCAAACCTCGTTTTGCTTAGCAATGCAGTCAGTGTTTTCGGGTAGCTGCTTAGTGACAAGTCTCTATGGAATGAGCTGGGCACCAGGTAAATTATGCTGTCCTTGCTGCACACTGAGCTGAGATTTGCATTTGTAGCATCTACTCTGACTGTTCCTGCCCCCTTGCAGGTCTCAAGGGCACCCCCAGTACAAAATCTAGTTTTTCTGTCTAATTTCTGAAAAGGCAATCTCTGGGGTTGGAGAGATGGCTCAGTGGTTAAGAGCACCGGCTGCTTTTGCAGAGACCTGAGTTCGGTTTCCAGCACCCACATGTGGCCAACAACTATCCATAACTCCAGTTTCAGGGATCAGACACCCTCTTCTGGCCTCTTTGGGCATTGCATGCATATGGTGCACTTACATATATGTAGACAACAGTCAGACACATAAATAAATAGATTAAACATTTAAAATGCAATTTCTCCAATGTATTAAAACTCAGTTGTGATGAATATACACCCATTTGTGGTGTATATTTTAAATTTACTAAAATTTAAAAATTAGAGAGCTAGCAATGTATCTTCTGACTTATAGGCCATCTAGGGAACACTGCAGTGAAGATAGACGTAGCTGGGTGTGATGGCACTAGTACTTGAGGCAAGAGGATGTTAAATTCAAAGCCAACATGAGCTACATAGTGATACCCTGTCTCAAAAAAATCATAAAGTTAATGTGAACAGTATTTTAAAGGAAGCACACATATAAATGCACACCCCTGTGAGTTATAGACATATTTATGTGTCCATATAGCAGAAAGGTGTGGGAAGCTATACCCTTTGTGTTGACATTAGGAACTGCAAGCAGGGAAGGAGAAATGAGGAAGTGTGGGTGGAGGTAGAGAGGGGCCTTTGTCAACAGGACCCAGGGCTGCAGATTGGTCCAGCAAGAGAAGTGAAAACAGGATCATGGATGTAGTGGGGCTGAGGTCATTTGCATAGTTTGGGGGATTAATGGGGCAAAGACCACATTACAATGAACTGATGAGCAGGTGGGGCACAAGAAAATGGTACATTCTGCTCTTCACACAAATGTGACCACATACAGGAGAAAGGCAAGGCTAAAGGGTCATGTTGGTTTGTTTTTAAGGTGGGAGAAAACTAAGCCTGTCCACTGCTGCTGCTGGGTGGCTCCAGGGGAGAGGAGAGGTTGGGCAGCCAAAATAGTGGGAGAGAAGAACTGGCCTCAGAAGGACAGTACTCTCAGTGTTTTCTAACATGTTTCTTAGGGGCTAGGGGTGCAGATCAATTACCAGAGTACATGCACAAATCCCTGGGTTCAGTCCCCAGCACTGCATAAACCAGGTGTGTGGCTCATAACTGTAATCCCAGCACTGGAGAGGTGGAGGCAGGAGGATCAGAAGTTCAAAGTCATCCTCCTCTCCTACATAAAGAGTTTAATGCTAGCCTGAGATATGTGAGACCCTGGAGAGAGAGACAGAGACAGAGAGACAGAGAGGAGACCCTGAGTTCCATTCCCAGCACACACATGGCAGTTAACAACTGTCTGTTACTCCAGTTCCAAGGGAGTCATACAAC